TGCCTTGGATTTGCTTTAAAAAGGAGGGGAGAGAGAAAAACATTTCTTTTTTTATAAGTTTGGCAAATGAGGATAACTGTTGATTTGAAGTAAGGTGGTCGATACACAGTGGTTCGGATGTATTCCCTTTATTTATGTATAAATTAGAAATTTTTCATAATAAAAAGGCAAATAAACAGCTTGAACTAGCTCTCTCTCTTTTAATACTAGCTTTAACTGTCACGTGCCTACATGGATTTCTTCCTTTTCTGAACCACTAGAGTTCCACATGTACCACTCATTTTTGACAATTACTGTCTCTGTTGCTTCAAGCCTTCGTGTATGTATTTATTTCCCTACAGAAATAACTATAAAACACAGTGCTTGCCATCAAGGACCTTATAATCTTTTCTCTCTTAAATCCAACATGTTCATTCAACAAGCTCATTTACCAAAATTCCCTCTATAAGCCAGGTACTCTTCCCCTTCCTAATGCACAGATGGGATTAAAAACACCAGGTGTCTAGCCTCAAAGACTCACAATGTAGTAAAAGGAAGTTAGATGTTTCTCTAAAAAAACAAACAAAAAACCCAGTTACTCCTCTGCAGAAAAACTTTCACAGGCTTACCACTGCACAAAGAGTAAGATCAAACTTTTTTTTTTACCTAGAATTCAATGTCCTTTATAATCTAGCCCTGAGTGGCCTTTTGTCCAAATAGGCCTACTTTCCAATTCCCGGACACTCCAAACATTTCTCAATGTGTCTCTCCTTATGCCATTTTCTAAGCCCGGAAAACTGTATCAAAATCCTTCTGCAGATCTGAACCCCAATAATCCTTTCAAGGCACAGTTTAACTTCTACTTTCTCCATGAACTGTTCCTACTCAGTACACTCTTCCTCTAAAATACTATAGCACAGATTGTTTTTACCATTCCTTTAGCAAATTAACAAACGTGACACCATTTCTTCTCATAGCCCCCAAAATGTCCAATTCCTTGCCTAAAGAAAATGCACATTAATTATCTTCTTACCAATTAACATAAAATTACCTTTAGAATCTAAAATGACTGACCCATGAGTGAAGATAAGAGTGTCTTCTAGAGCCAGTCTCTTAATCCCAACCTAGAGAGTCGTTCTATTAGTCTGTAGCACTGAATCAAGCACTGTCTGTCAGCTGCTCAATTCCTGGTAGAATTTGGGTGTAAAAGAATTGAAGAGCTTAAGTAATTTAACTTTGGATCTGTCTATTCTGAATCCAAACAGAAACAAAAACAACCTCCCACTCCCACCAAAAAATCAAACAAAAGAGCCAAAGAAAGCCAAAGATGACTATAACCATAAGGCACTGAGATCAATATTATAGCTCTACGGGGCTTCTAATCACTTCAGTTTGGGGTCTATAGTTTTAAATAGGAACCAATTCCTGTCTCAAAAATCAGTTATTGTGAGTGTTAAACTGGAGAGGTACTCCTAAATATCCCAAAGATTTTCACCCCTTTTGGAATGCCATGGGAAAAGAAGGAACACATTGTTCTCTCAGGTAATAAGTTGTTAAAGTATTTCCAAACATCTAACACAAGAAAAGCATTACTGTTAACACTTACCATATTGTGGTTTAAGTATCTGCTTATGAACCTGTCACTCCAACTAAACCATGAACTCCTCAAGAGCAGGGAATCAAGGACTGGATATCTTGTCTTACCTATCTTTGTACACCCTAAATCTAATAACAGCCTGGCACACTGAGGGACTCAACAAATGCTCTCTCAATTAATGAATGAATTCCATCTTAGGGTAAAACATGTTCAAAATGCCAACAGCCTGTTAAAAAGTAATGGAAGGAGGTTAAACAATATATTCAAACATCAACTGCCTGTAACAAAGTTATGGAATGTGGAAGTCACATGCATTTTGTAATTTAAGCAGACCAAGCACAATCTATTGGCATTTTCTTTCCTTAGAATCATGTCCAACATATAAAATGTTCTAAGAAATTATTCCAGTCTTTTCTACTTTTGGATGGGGCTAAAAATGTGGGAAAAATCTTATTTTGATACTCTATCAGATCATTCTCCAATGTCTCTCTGCCTCAGTTTCAATTGGTTACTGCTTTTTTATTACCATTAACCCATTAAAGAAAAATATCCAGAGACTCAATGGAAAATGATTATCAAAGAACAGAAGTTTCAGCATCAGTGGGAAAGGGTGCATGTGTACTTTGATTTGCCCAAAACATTCATGATGAATCACTGTCCAAATTAAAAGGAACCATGAAAAGGTAAAAGTACTGCACACAAAGTGATAAAATCCATATACAAGGGTACATCAAAAAGTTCATGGATAGATTCATATTTTTCCCATGAACTTTTTGAAGTATCCTTGTATATGCATGTATATAAAATTGAGGCTATCTGAAAACAATTTTTGGTATGAGATGGTTTTCTCATTTTATATGTATTTGGCATTTTTAAAAGGCATACATTATAGATATTAATATTGGAGGAAAAACGACTTAGAATTAGCAGATCATCCGGCCAAAAGAGGGAGTGTTTACACCCTCACATACAAGACTATAAGATGATGATGGTGATAAAGAAAACATTCTTCTGAAATAGTTCAAAGGTATGTTAAATACCATTCACAGTTTTTTAAGGAAAAATGCTGACAAAAACATGAGATATTTTATACTATAATTCTTTCATACACTGTATCTCAAGAAGTATATAAAGCAGCTTTCAAAAACATCTGGGAAACAGTACCAGTACTCATCTCTCCAATGGCGTAAGTTTGAAACATAGCCCAATTTGACTTAAATAATATGAGTTTACGAATAATCATCATTAAGCTGATGAATAAAAAGCCCAAAACAAAGAAACAAAAAAAATCAACAAGCTTCAAAAAGGAGCCATACCTTTTAACCATTCTGCTTCTAGTTACAATTTCAAAGCATTCCCAATATTAACATGGTTAAACAGTAATTTGTTCTCTTAAAACAAATATTCTTCAAAAGAATGATGATTGTTTAAAAAAAATAAAGAAAAAAAAGGCCATGCTGTATTTTGACCCAACAACCTACCTCTAAAAATAATCAGGAACAAATGAAAATATTTATGAGAAAGAATGTTTACAAAAACATAATTTGTCATACTGAAAAACTGGAAGCAACATAAAACTCCACTAGAAGAGTATGCAGCTATTGAAATTAAAAAGATACTATTAATGACATTAAAGATAACGTTTACTAAGCTAAAAGTCAGGTTATAGAACAGCATATAAAATTGCATACATATATAAAATATATGTATGCATATATGAAACATGTATGCTTATATGTAATATATGTATGCATACATGTATGCAAAATTCAGAAATATTTTTGGAAGAAATATTTTGAATACTAGGATTGTGACATTTTCATATGTCCTCTGGAAAAAATTTCAGAAAATCACAATGATCTTGTATCATTTTTAAAACAAATCTTTTTTAAAAAAAGATCATACTCTGTTCAATAAATGTGCTCAGTAACTATGTAGTGTTCCATAACTGTGTGGTTTAACTTCTCTGAGAGGCAATTAGACACTATCACAATAACAAATGCACATTTACTTTGATTCAGCAATTCCAAATACAGGTATTTATACTACAGCTATCCTCACACAAGCATTCAAGGAAACATTTTTGTTGAAGAATGTTCACAGCAGCATTTATTTAGCAAAGTACTGGATATGATGTAAATGTCCACCAATAGAGACTAGATAAATTATGTACACTCATACAATAAAATACTGTATAGCCATGAAACAGAATGAGGAAGCTATGTATTGGAGTTCAATGACATCCAAGATAAATAAGGTTAAAAAAAAAAAGTAAAAGAAGAGTATGTACCAACCAACAGTGAGGGGAAAAAGGGAGGGAGGAATACACAGACAAATAGCCTGTACTTGCACAGACTGTTTCTAGAAAAACACACAAAAAACTAAAGAGTGGTTGCTGGAAAGTCAGAGGTCTAAAAATCAGCAGTAATAATACTGTCATTGAAAACACTGTAAACCAATTTGTACTGTTTTAATTTTTTAAAAATATGTGTATGCTAAATTTTAATAGCTTTTTAAAATTAGGTAGTGAATTACCTTGCTGTTGTATAGATTTAAGAAAAATAAGGCTTATGAGTATCAAAATTACGTTATGAAACAGTTGCTTTTAAGAGTTTAAAAAATTCTAAACTATTATTTGCTGCTTTTACCTTATTACAATCAGTGAAAATTATACACAATTGTAAACCTGAGTTCTTCTTCTAAACAAAGATGTTAACATTGCTGCTAGCCAACAAATACACCTGTCTTATCTAGTACTTGTTTTGCTCTCTGTTAAAAGCAGTTTTAAAAATCTGCTTTCTCTCTTGCTATATTATACTTCATACATGTTCTATACAAGAGGATTTTCTATTGGCCCCAAATAAATATGGAAAAAGGGAAGATTTTCTTTTTCCACTGATATTAATCCTTCCTCCAGGTCAGTTTGGCCTAGCCTTACTTCTCTGAGAGAATAACAAACGAAACGCCTACCTAGAGTAACAAACAAGATGACTCACTAAATGTACTAGTCTCTACTGCAAGTTGTTCTAAAAAAAAAAGGCTAAGAAAAATGTATTAACATTTAACTATATTCCCGAGTAGATTAAATAGAAACCTAAAGTCAGATCAACTACAACTAACATGCTCTCTAACTTTGGGGAACCCATTTCCCAGAAACTGGAAGTTGTTACTCCAAATAAAATTGAGAAAATGCTGGTTAACATAGCTACAGTGGTCTTTTTATCACATTTGTTCAATGTATTACCAAATATCAGAAAAACACTCAACAAGGTTATACTGGAGGGTTAGCTTATCTATTTTAATTAGATTAATTAGATTCTGTCAATGTTGGTCTACTCAACAACAAAGCTTATAATCACGTATCAAACTTCATGAAAATAAGTGGTAGACAGTTAAAAAATAAAAACAAAGAAGCTGAACTCACCTTTAACACTTTTTCTGTTAACATCTGCCCCTTTTTCAAGTAAATACTGAGCAATCTCTTTATGCCCTTTGTAGCATGAAATCATCAAGCATGTATGTCCATGTCGATTTGACACTTCCAAATCAGCTTTGTGTTCTACAAGGTACTTCACTATTTCCAAATGGCCATCAAAACATGCAGCTCGAAGAGGAGTTGAATTGGTTAAAGTCGTGTTGTTGACAGACGCTCCATGATTTAACAAAGACTGGACCACCTTCAGATGTCCTGCTGCAGAAGCAGCCCATAAAGGGGGAGCCCCCTCAATGGTTTCACCATCAAAATTGACGGAGCCTCCTACTTCTATGGAGGCACTGCACTGCTCAAGGAGGAATTCCACCATGTCAAGGTGCCCGTACCTGGCAGCCATCAAGAGTGGCGTGGCCCCATTTGTTTTTTCAGAGATCAAGGAGGAAACCTCCTCTTTGGATTTGCTTGCCAACAACTTGGTGAGAAGCCGGAGTTTGCCATCCCGAGCTGCGTTAAATACTGCTGTCTTTAGATCCATTTATGTCCAGTTGAGAGGCTGTGCTTTATTTATCCTTCAAAGCAAAGCTCCAGCTTAACTCTATCGACACACACAAGAGTTACAGGAACCAAAGTTCAACGTTAATCACTGCACCCCAGAACGGATATAAAACCACGGAGAGTATGTTCTGTCCTACTGCCTTCCAATATCTGACAACCAGAGCACCAAACTAGAGAAAGAAAAAAAAAAGTACCAGTTTTGTATTTTCCACAGGTAAAGGCAAAAACACTACTTAGGTTTCCTTTATTTCTATTTCTGTGGGAAGAAGGGGTGGGTCATACTTTAGGAACTATTCTGCCCCCGCCCCTGGTCAGAGAAGGTGGGAAAGGAAAACACAGAAGGGTACACACAGAGACCAAATGTTTTGTGGGAGGCAGTTTCTTCCCCGTGTGCGGAAAATTTAAACACTAGCAACCGGTTTTCTCGCCTCCAGCTCTAACCAGACAAGCTTTGTTCTAGTTTTGCTTTGCACACGCCCAGGGAGAGTACAACCAAAAGAGGCAAAGACGCGGGTTCGGAGATGTTTCCCTTTCTTGCATCTGCAGAGGACAGCGGGTCAAGGGCGCGGGACTGGAAGGCCTCATTGTGGCCGGAATGGGATTCGAGAAGGAACAAAAAGGTCGGACACGCCAAACCTCGGCCAGCTAACACCAAAACCCTCACCCGATAGGTTCTCTTTCCTTTAAAACTACTCGAAGCGCTCAGGAAATCCGGCTGCCTTTCAGTCATTAACTTCGCCCGCCCCATTTTGATACTCCCCTATCCCCCCGGGTTCCGCGGTGTCCCAAACTACAGCCGCCCCTACATAACCTTCGCCTCTACCTCCTCCAGACACGGGAAGCCCTTCCCCGAGCTCCGAGCTCGACCACGACCCCCTCCCGACCTGCCGCCAAGCCCGGGGCCTCCAGCCCACTGCCCGCCTTCCGCTCCCAGGGCGCCCTCCTTCCCGCCCAGGCCTCCCCGCGGGTGCCTCAGGCCGGGGCCCAGTCCCTGGCAGATCGCCGCCGCCACTACCTGCCCGGTGGCTAGTCCTCCCCGCCGCCGCTGGCCGCTCGGGCTCGGGTCGCCCCCTTCAAGTGGAAACCGTTGTCCCTGCCGCCGCCTGGGCAGCCCTGCTCCGCCGGCGGCCGCACAGCTCCTCCATACCCCGCGCCCCACAGGAATGAATCCGGCCGTTGTTCTGTCCTACTGCCTTCCAATATCTGACAACCAGAGCACCAAACTAGAGAAAGAAAAAAAAAAGTACCAGTTTTGTATTTTCCACAGGTAAAGGCAAAAACACTATTTAGGTTTCCTTTATTTCTATTTCTGTGGGAAGAAGGGGTGGGTCATACTTTAGGAACTATTCTGCCCCCGCCCCTGGTCAGAGAAGGTGGTCGGGGCGGCGCGGCCGGGGCGGGGCGCTGCGGGAGAGGGCGGGGCCATGAGACCGCGAAGGACGCGCGTGCGTGCGGCGGGTTGGGGGTGGGTTTACGCGCCCAGTGGTGGACACGGAGGCTTTGGGGTATCGCGTGCTGGCGCGCTCTCCCGTCTTGAGGGTGCTCGTTTGGTCCCCGATCCCCCAGAGGAGTAGTAACCAACATTTTTTTCCGTACACACATGAATATTTTCGGCCTAGTCTCGTCTGTTCTTCCTTTGGAGGGCCCTGGAATATACTCAACTCACACGTACACCTCAGCGCACACACACAGGAAACAAATTTCAGACAGATGCGTTTTGGAGGCTGCCAAACATGACTGTTATTTTTCTTTTTAAATATGGTCTACTAAAAATTATAAAGGCTATAAGCAATGGTAAAACCTAAAAGCATTACGAAGCCAACAAGGTAGAGTTTGAACTCTGAATAAAAAATCCAGGAAATGAGAGAAAGCCAAAAAGTCTATGTGCATGAAAATAATTTCCACTTCATACAGCATGAAATAAACTGGAAGGTGTGACCTTAAAACCTGGGATGTATTAAACTAAGTTGGAAATTTTAAATATATTTGGGGGCTAGCACTCGTAACAAATCATGATGAGAAAATTGTTTTAGAAAACGGACCTTCAATTTCTAGAGTGCTTTATTTGGAGAAACATAAACTTGATATAGGAGGTGCTCTGTTTGCCTGGGTTCAGGTTTCAGGACATGTCTCTGGGTTTCCAGTCACTCCCTGAGGCTTCAGGCCCCCTCCTCCAGGCTCTCCCCTGGTCCAGGCTCTCCCCTGGAGGAAAACTATTGTTGTCAGTTAGACCTATTTTCAGCACCAACTGGGGGAAAATGAGACCACAGGGGCTGGCTTATGCAAATCCAGTAGTTGGGCATGCTCAATAGTGAGCACAGAAGATTCTTGAATATGCCTGGTGCATGTGATAGGGTCTGACCAGTGAACATGCTCCAGGAAGAGCTGACTGAGCATGTGCAAGACTGAATGTTACATAACTGGGAGCCACACCTTTAATGGAATATTCTTCAGATAGAGAAACTATAACAACTGAATCCCAAGTGAAGGCAGGGTTGTTGCTCACTTTCCTCGTGGCAATTTGCACTTCACTGGATGAGGTGTGTATACTTTGTATTGAACTTACTTTCAGCAAACGACTGCTTACTCTCTTGAGCTAGCCTGCACTTTGTACTGAACTTTAAATATGTTTTTCTTGCTTTTGTGTTAGACTTCATGTCTGTACTGAACTTTTGTCTTAAACTTGGTGTGGGCACTGCTTAGTCTCTGGAGCTATGCTGCACTCTGTCTGTGGAACCTGTGTTTCTTATGTTACATTAAACTTGTTCTCACCTTCTGCTGACTCTGCCCTTGAATTCTTTCCTGTGGCACAGTAAAGAACCTGGTAAGAGGATTGGGTGAGTTGAGCCAACTGTCAGCTCCCCAGACCCTACCTCGGACTGCAAACTTACGCAATTCCTGACCCCCAGCATCATAAATGTAGTCATTATCATTATTATGTTAAACGCCATGGAACGCTGTATGGCCAGGGCTAAGGCTAATGTCTGGAATCCTGTCAACATCGCCAATTGTAGCGCTCTTAATCCTGTTCATGACGCCAACTGTAAAGCTACTCGACCACGGGCTCTTTTACCTGCTGGTAATCCTGCACTGACTGGGCCGATTGTTGAGCTAGGGCTGGGTCTGGAGCTCCCAGACCCCTCAAGCCCATTCACAGACTGGGTCACAAAACCTTCATATGCCAGGCTGGGTCACCAGACCCCCTTCATGCAGGTCTATGAGCTAGGTAACTGGCCAAAAGGTCCTTGAGAGACATAGGTTGGAAAGCATGGCCGGGCAGGGTGGACACCTGAGGCAGACGCCCACCTGCCTGCTTCACTAAAACTCTCTCTCCCCGCTCCTCTCTTTCTCTCTGAAGAACACAAGAATAGCAACAAAACTAAAAACTAAAAAGATACACTGGTGCACATGTGTACTAACTCCACACACACACACACAATTTGCTTACAAAGAATGCTGAACCACACCCAGCTGGACCCATGGCGAGGGCCCTGACAAAACTATTCTATTTTCCCAACAAACACTAAAAACATTTTAACAAAAAAATCACAACTTCATTTTTGCATATTAGTGTTTTACAAATGTTTATGTAGTTTTGCATAACTGAAATCATAATTTTCATACAATATATATTTTAAATGTATATTTTAAATTTTTTATAAAACTTTTGTACATATTGGGCCGGCCCGGTGGCGCACTGGATAAGTGCGCCGCTTGGGAAGCGCGGCAGCACTCCCGCCCAAGGGTTCGGATCCCACATACAGACCGGTTCCCGCTCACTGGCTGAGCGAGGCGCGGGAGCAGCCCCGAGGGTTGCAAGCCCGTTGCCGGTCCCCGGTCCGGTACGGGGGCAACACTCAGGGTTGCGATCCATTGCCGGACACAAAAACAGAAAAAAGAAAAAAAAAAAAAAAAACTTTTGTACATATGGGGCCGGCCCGGTGGCGCACTGGATAAGGGCGCCGCTTGGGAAGCGCGGCAGCACTCCCGCCCAAGGGTTCGGATCCCACATACAGACCGGTTCCCGCTCACTGGCTGAGCGAGGCGCGGGAGCAGCCCCGAGGGTTGCAAGCCCGTTGCCGGTCCCCGGTCCGGTACGGGGGCAACACTCAGGGTTGCGATCCATTGCCGGACACAAAAACAGAAAAAAGAAAAAAAAAAAAAAAAACTTTTGTACATATGTATTTTTTGCTTTTTTCCCCTTGCAGTACTCTAAACATTTCTCATGTTTTTACAGCCTTAATAGTCATTTGAAGTGGGGAATAATATTTCCCTTCAGTAATCAATATATACATTCAACATTAGATCTTCAAAATTGAAGTTAAGGTTACTACCACTGAGAAGAAAATATAAAAGAACAGAGTATAAAAGATGAGATCAGCCTTCTATAAAAACTGAACAACCAGGAAGATCGGCTGTTTTATTCCCATCATATAGGTTACAGTTCTTTATTCCCAGTGTGTAGGTACAGTGTACAGTGTATTCACAGTGTGTAGGTACACAGTGTACAGCGTCCCAACCAAGGCCTAACCTAAGCTGACGTCTTCCTCATCTAATTCAATAAGATAATGTAAAAATTTACATCAGTGGTCTTTACACTAAGGCGTGATCTCCCATGGATTTTTTAAGGGCTGGGTGAAAACAGTTATAAGATCACCAGTTTCTGAATCAACTTAAACTCTTATTCTTTCTTGAAATTGGTCAGCTGGTGAAGGAATAGTTCAAGGTGTCTCATTGGTTCATTTCCCAACTCTTTCACAATAGCCATATATTTCCCAATTTGCAAAAAGACAGACATATCTCTTACTCAATGAGAATCTTAAAATGGTGCATTGCTCCAGTATGTAAAAACCTCAAGCAAGTTTTGTCACTTCTTTATCAATTTAAAATACTGGGAGACTTTGAGAAAGTATATACTTTTAATGAATGAGTAACAAATTATTTGCAAGTCAGATGATTTTCAGATAATTGCTTTCAACAAAATATGATCTAAAGATCACTAAGTAAGTTTATACATTGGAAGTTCAAGGAATTGAGTGACATTAATATAATGACAAAACTCCTTGTAGACCCATCTACTTATTAGCATAAAAACATTTTCTCAGAATGTATAAAAATGAAAAACTAAGAAAACATTGATGCTGAACTCTGTCTCATTCTAGTAAGAAGC